TTTTCAAATAAATATATTATTATTATTATTATGATTGTTATTATTATTAAATTTATTATTATTATTGTTATACTAAATATAATTTTTTCCTAATAATATTTTTTATTAAGATATGAAGTTATTGCTTCAATTTCAAAAATATTACTTCAATTCCAGAAATATTAAGATAAAAATATTTTATATTTTATTATAATTGATGAATGATGAAACTATTACTCTTTCCACTTTAAAAAGAATGGCCTCATTTTTTTTTAATCTATTTAAAAAAGAATGATCTCTTTAATTTTTTGATTGCATTTTAATTTCAGTTGTCCACGTGGCATGTTTAATAATGTATAAGATCAAAGGATAATTTTGTACATTTGATCTAACTTTAATTTAGGACCACAAGATTCAAAAATCTTCTTTACATTCTTAAACTCCGTGCCAAATCAAATCAGATCATTTTTTGTGAAACAAAGGGAGCATAATCTTATATATATATGACATATACTAATGATTCACTTTTGTCCACTTTTACCTTTAATGATATAATTTACTCTTACACAAAAATTTAAGCAATATTTTAGATCATAAATTTTAAAATATTTCTCAAAAAGAAATCAATCTAATTAAAAAATGTCAAATAAATTGAAACGAAAAGAGTAATATATTTATCTAGGAAGAGGATTGATCCATTAGATGAGTATGGAAAAAAATGATGGCTATGTATTATGGCACATAGAAAGGACGAAGTCAAAACAAAACTTATTTATTAAATTTTCTATAGTGCTTGGACTAATATTTCTTGTAATAGAAATATACTTTTAGATATTTCATTGATTTTAACGTAATTGATTTGTTAAAGGAACATTGTGGATTGATTTTCATATGGAATAATATTATTAATTTATATGTATTCAAAAATTATACTTTTATAAAATTTATAATTTTTAATGATATTCATTGAAAATTTATGGACAAAATGACACTTACTGTGACTTGGGAGAAAAAAAAAAGTATAACTTCAATCTATATTTAAAATTTTAGAGATATACTTATATTATATTAAAGTCTTATTATTTTTTAAATTTAATTATTTTATAAATAATTTTCTATCACTTTTTAATATACATGACACTAACTTAAAAAAGAATCAACCAATATTGACCCACACAATAGTGCAACAAAAAAAGAATTGCTGGTAAAATTCTTCTTTCTTGTTAGTGTTCATCACTAAAGTCTTTGTCCTGCATAGCTTTCAGGATCAAAGTTTTTTTTCTCTTCTTGAGAGAAAATTCTTCGGGCTTTAAAGTTTACTTATCTCATATAGTTTGTCTATTGACATTATTCTTCAGGTATTTTATTTTTGTAATAATATTCATCTTGCTTTTTCAAAGTCAATAAACATGTTAACTCATGTATTCAGGTTAGTAAAATAGAAATTGAAGAGATGAAATAAATAGACAAAAAATAAATAATTCGAGTCAACAAAATTTACTGTATATCTTTAAGAAATTTAATCTTTTCAAGTATTCGAGATTGTAGATTATTTCCTTCCAAGATAAAATGAATTAATTATTTCGAAAGTAGCAGTACCTCAAACATCAATAATTTCAGCAAACTCAAAAATCAGCAACGAGAGCGCGCACACACACTCAATTGATTTGTTTGGTTGTTGAATTCTGAGAATTGAACTGTGAATTTTGAGACTTATGAGTCGTGTATTATATAATTGTTATGTTAGGCTGAATTCTATGCATGTTGTAGTTTGAGGAGGTTCAGTTGGTGAGTATTGGGTATTTGATTTCTAGCTAGATGTTTTATTCATTAGGTTGCTTGCTGGCTACCATGTAGTTGATACTCATTTCTTGCTTCTACACACGTGTAAATTTCAAGTCTGATCTAGCGTGATTAATCTTATTCTGACTTTTCGAGGTTGTTGAAGGACGAAAAATAGTTGCTTCACATCCCGACGGACCCTCTTTTCCTTTTCTTTATGCTTTAACCTATTTGAGTAACAAAGGATGAGAGTTGTAATTATTTCAATTTTGCACCTTAAGTATTAGTGTTTGTACACATGACAATTAAATTTTAAAATTTAATTGAAAGAATTAGTTTTTCACTTTATCTTGTTCTTGATTTATATTTTCACATTTCTTTCATTTTTATTGGGAATAGACATGTGTTTTCACTACCACTTTTAGATCATGACAACAAAATACTGTAAGTGACACTTTTCTGATATTCATTAATATATACTTTAATATATTGAGTCAAGTTTTACATAGTTTGAATCTATTAAAATTATAAAATGTCACGTAATTGAAATAAAGAGAGTACTAATAATTTATAGTATCACGTAAATTGAAATAAAAAAATATTATTTAAGAAATACATGTTACAATAGTGGCTCGAGGGCGAGGATAACAAAGCATTTGCTTTAAGCCCCAAACAATTTTAAATGTGAATTTTATGATTTTAATTTTAGTAAAAAAATATTGAACATTATACAAAAAGAAAGATACAAAATTTAAATAAAATAGAAAGAAAGATGAACTAACTACTATTAGAAATATATAAGAACTTTGAATAAAATAACACAAATAACATTTTTATAATAACATCCAAGATATATATTGCAACAAATAACTAATCTTTTATTGACTAGAACTAATTCTTACAAATAACCAATCTTTTATTGCCTAGAACTAATTCTTACTTTTATAAATGATAATATTATTATGTGAACTTAATCACTTAATAGCTTTTAAGAATTAGAGTTGTTAATATGGGCTAACATATTTCATCCGGATTAACTCATACATATTTTGATATTTTACGGGTTAGGTCGAGCTAGTCCACTTTTAGTATGAGTCAGAAAACGATCGGCCCAACCCACAAATACGTGGACTATATTCTTGCCGGGCCAGCCTACTTTTTAAAAAATTATATATTTTTTATAATTATTAAATTAACTATAAATTATAATTTAAAAATATTATCATAAATATCGACAAAACAATATTACATGATGTTAATGTTACTACTTGTTAATCAAATCCACAAATAAAATTATTTTTAGAATATTTATTAAGTTTCTTTCCCAGTAAAAGTATAAATATCTAAACAGAAATATTAACCTAATTGTTTTGAGTTTGTCTCTCTTTAATTTTAAAATTTAATGTTATATTATATTTTTAAATTAATTTTTATTGACCCACGGATCGGCCCTACCCATATTTCTCAAGCCCCACCAATTAACAAACTTAAAAAATCATTTTCTTAAATAGACTCCAAAAATCTTAGATCACTCCTATTAAAATTCAAATTAGTTTAGGCTTTATCAAGAATATTACACGAAAAATAAATAGTATGCAAGAATAATAATAAAAAATTAATATTTATTTTTGTGTATATATTTAAAGTCTCTTAATATAATTTAAGTTTACACCAACAATTTTATTCAGACATCATTATTTTCATTTTAAATTTGCAGAGCGTATATTTTCGATGTATTCATAATATTATGAAATTATGAATAAAGAAATGAACTATGGTGTAAACCTTTGGCTAATGATAATTTTTTTTAACCAATGACACAAAATGTTTGAAATTCTAAGGGGAGAATTACTTTATAAGAAGACACCAAAATGCTTGGTAAAAAATTTAAGTTAGCCCTTTTAAAAAAAAGAAAAAACATCAGATGTAAATCTACTAACTGTCCTTATCAGACATGAAAGAGGAGTAGAAAATTTAAGTAAATATTCTGTCAACTACATTTTTAACATAATTATTCAACTAACTGAAATTCATAAAATTCATATATTATAGAGGCACCATTTTAAATAAATTAGACACTATTCAGGGAAGGAATCAAATGGATAACCTTTTATTTGGAATTTATATTTCTCAGTCTCTTTTTTAAAAACAAATAAATTGGGTTAGAAAAGAGAGAACGAAGAAAAAGTTACGAGTTTGAAACTCTTTCAAATAACCAATCAAATAAATGATTAACATTCTCATTTTTCAATCTTCTGAAATATAAAAAGTATCACAAAAAAGTACCTTTTCAAATAGTCTTCTAAATCACCAATAGTCTTTTTTTAAAAAAAAATGAGGGAAGATTAGTTTTTTTTCTTTATTGGTGGAAAGATTTTAAAAAATTCTGCTCTTAAAAAAAAAGAAGTAGAATTTTTTTTTAGATTAAAATATTACTTACATATATTTATATTATTAATATGTCACTTATTAATTAATTAACACATTTCATAAGTTTAGTTAAGTTTCTTCTGAGAATTTTATTTTTTATTTTTTAGTAATACATTGTTTATTTTATTTTACGTTTGTATATTATTATTATTATTTTATATTTTATATTTTATATATTATAAATTATATATTATTTTGCCTATTATCTTCAGAAGTAGATAAAACTTAACAATAATAATTTTTACAAGACTATAAAAAAAGAAAAAGATTTTAGTCTTCCAAAGAAATATATAATATTAATTGAAAATTTGAATATAATTTTAATTTAATAAAAATAAAAATTTAATTAAATTTTTTATAATAGACAGGTAAAATAGTTTATCCCTATAAAAATAATTTTAATATTACAAGTACATTGATATTTGTCCTTTTTAGTAATTTGGTTCTTAAAAATATTTTTTTAAAGATTAATCAAACACAATTTACTTATAAAAAATATTTTTAAAATTAATTAATCAAACACAGATAATTTTTTTAAAAAATATTTTTTTAACCAGCTATTTTTGAAAGATGCTTCTAAAAATAAGCAATTTTGGACATCACTATCAAACAAACTCTAAAATTAATTTGCAAAATATTAACCTAAATAAACGATATCAAATAAATTGAAACCGATGTTAGTTCAGCCTTGCATGTGACGCTATAAATTCTTTGAAAACGCATCAGCACCACATATTTCTACACCACACGTCGAAAGTACGTCTATTCTTTATCATATTATATGTACAAGCATTTCCATTTTTCTTGGTTGCATGTACTATGAATAAATTAAAAGGTACTTCTTCTTTTTTAAACTCAAAGATTATCAAGAACGTAACGCCTTCTTAGCTCTCACTCTAATTGCTTTGTCACTGATTCCCCAGAGTATATTTCTCTCTTCCTCTCTCTCTCCCTTTTTTTTTTAATCATCCTTAATTCCCTAGGAACTTTACCTTTTCGACTTTCTGGGTGACTAAAACACACAATTTTAAGGGTTTGTAGGTGATGTAGCGGTGGAGCTAGTAGCCTTAAGGGTTTGTAGGTGATGTAGCAGTGGAGCTAGTAGCTAGCCTGTAGGAGGGTTCAGTCAAATCCACTAGATTTTTCTCAAACAGTATAAATTTATATTGTTTAAATCACTAAATAAGTATAAGTTTTGAATTTAGAATACTTAAAAATCATAGTTGCAAAATTCAGAAGCTATAAAACTTGAAATATTTTTGAAAAATTCCAACTTGAGGTGAAGAACGTGCTTAGTAACCTCTCTTGTCGATTTTTAATCGTTTATAGGTTAACATTTAATTCTAGGGTTAAATTAATAATATATTTTTAATTTGTTTTTGATTTTTGTGGTTATGAAGGATGGATTATGAAGTAGCAGAGCTAAAATGGGAAAAGGGAGAGGTAGTGATGCATGGGTTAGGTCCTCCAGGCGTGCCTTGTTATTATAAGCCTTTATCGACTCCTTCTCCAACAAAATACACGTGGGACGATAAGCCACATGCTGCTGCAGGTGGCACACTTGAATCCATAGTGAACCAAGCTACGACTCATAATATTGACATCGGTGACGAGGGTGGTGATGATGATGATTTAGTGAGTTGGTTTGATGATTGTCTTCCTGAAACGTCCATGGATATTGTGGCCGTAGTTCCAACAAGTTGTACTAACTATAATCAACAAGTGCCCCCGTCCACACGTGTTGCATCATGCAGTGGTGATGCAGAGATGGCACGTGTGGGAATGGGATCTAGCTTTGAGGAAATATCGGAAGACTTTGAGAATCAAGAGGCTAAGAACTTGATCGGCTCAATGGTATACGAGGGCAAAAATAACACTGTGAGCCCGGGAGAGACAAGTTTGGGTGAGGAAAGAGTACTTACAACAACATCTACCTTTAAGCATAATAAAAGGAAGACACTGAATAATCATGATAGCAGAGGTCAGGTAAATATATAATCTCCTTTCACGTGCATATTTATTGTATATGATTCCCATGCAGCACAACATAAATTTATTTAGTAATTATGATTTTCTTATTTATTATTATTACTACTATACATTTGCAAAGGCTTTCACCGCTGCAACTAGACTATTAGGGTGTGTTTGGCATGAACCAAAAAAAAAAATCCATGTGAAATACTCTTTTTTTTAAAAAAGAAATCGATCTCTTACTTGTTTTGTAGATCAGTTTGATAAATATATTATTTCAGAACTACTTATATGTAGTTGGATGATCAAAGAGTGGGGGTTTATACAGATTGAGGTAATTGGAATGCCACTAATAGAACTTAATTGTTTTTCCATTAATTAAGTGACTTTTTTCTTTTAATAAGGAACTTGTTTTTTCTAATGAAAATCTATTTCAAAATATTTGACCAAATGCATTTTCAGTCAAACACTACCTTAGTTTCATGTTATTGATTTTGTGTAACCGTTTTGTTATTCGATGTTCACTCGTCCTACTAATTCATTTTTTTTCCAGATCGAGTAAAAGGAGAAATTGCACTGCTCTTTATCAGAATTTTCTCCATTATTCTCTGATTCAAACCAAAATTTCTATCAATGAAGAATTTCATTTATTCTATCACGGTTCATCGTAATAATTAGTCTCATCCTCTAGAAGTGTATTTACTATTTTCTCAATTTTCATTTTACTTGATGTTCTTCCCTTTCAATCTCTTTCATAAAAATTGTTACCTTCTTATAATTAGAAAAAATATAACTTTAGAATTATCTTTTTAACCTTAATGAAATGATACTTTCAACCATATAAATATCTAAACATAATTTCAATTCACAAGTTTCATATATCATTTTTTAAATATCATACCTTGTTAAATAACGTCATATATAAACTGAGACAGGAGAGAAAATTACTTATTCCTTTTCTTTAGTGAAGTGATACTACTAAATAAATTTGAAGATTGATATGTCAAATTGTTGAATAGTGTATTAAACTTTAGTGTTCTTTTTTGTGAACTCACAACACAAGGAGTCGAGAGATAATGAGGATGAGGATGAGAAAAAAAGATCCAAAATTTCTTCATTTTCAACAAAAAGGTGCAGAGTTGCTGCTACTCACAACCAGTCTGAACGAGTAAGATGTCACTCTCATGTCTCTCTAAATGATTTATTTTGAATTTTGAGATTAAAAAAAGCTATTTTAATTGTAAACTTTTTTATATATTTTTAAATATTTTGAGTTGTTTATTTTTTTATATAGTTTATAAATATATAAATTTTATTTATTAAAAATTTAATTATTTAAATTTAAAATATTTAATTCTCAAAAAATAAAATATATCGCGATAGTAAATGATTATTTTCAATTAATTGTAATGATGTAAAAATTTTCTTCTGGCCTGACATCATATATATATAATAACAACAAAACTAATTTGATATTTTTAATTGATTATTGTTTTTTTTAAAATTATTACTAGAAAAGAAGAGACAAGATAAACCAAAGGTTGAAGACATTGCAGAAGTTAGTTCCAACATCGAGTAAGGTAATGAAATTAAAAAATTAATATTTTTTTCTATCAATAAATTAATTTTATAATTTTTGTCTGTGTTTTACGGTTGTTTGGAACTTTATGTTTCAAGAATATAATTATCTATGTTGATCAATTTTGTCTTTACATGAAAAATACACACTAAAAGATGCAAAAGCATTGGGACCTTAGCTTAAATACAGAATATTTCTAGTCCATGACTTATTTCTGCACTCCACCAGTTCATGAATTCTCAACCACTATTTCAAATAATTATTCTATCCGTTTAAAATTTATTTGATATAGTTTAATTTTATGTGAAATTTAAAAAGGAAAAACGTTTAAAATATGGTTCAAAATAAGTCATAAATATTTTTATATTACTGTAAATTATTTTATAAAGAATAAAATAAATATTTTAAAATTGAATTATTAATCTAAATGACATATTATAAATAATAATTTTACGAAAGCTTGTAAATGAAAGACATAAAAAAATGCAGAATCCTCGTATGAAATTATTGTAACTTGTTTTTGCAGTCTCATATTTTTTTCATTTTTCAATCATTAGCTTTCTATTTAAGTATCAATAATTATTACGTATTGTGAAATGTCGAATTGAAGAGAAGAAGGTGAAATTAGTTCTTGACTCCCATATGACAAATATCCAATTGTTACTTTTAAGTATCAATTATTACGTACTGTGACATGTCGAGTTAAAGAGCGAAGAAGACAAAATTAGTTATTGACTCCTTTTTCAGAATAATAACCAAATATTTAAGTATCAATTATGACGTATTGTGACATGTCGGGCCGAAGAGAGAAGAAGACGAATTTAGTTCTTTAGTCCTTTCAAACAAACAATCAACTATTCAAGTATCAATTATAAAGTACCGTGACATGTGGGGTTGAAGAGAGAAAGAAGACGAAACTAGTTCTTGACTCCTTTAAAAAATATAATTAACTTTTAAGTATTAGTTATTATGTATCGTGACATGTTGGGTTAAAGAGAGAAGAAGATGAAAAGTTCTTGACTCCTTTGAGACAAATAGCCAACTATTTAAGTATAAGTGATTATGTACAGTGACATGTCGGGTTGAAGAGAGAAGAAGATGAAATTAGTTCTTGAATCCTTTCAGACAAATAACCAACTATTGAAGTCTCAGTTATTACGTATTGTTCGGGTTGAAGCGAGAAAAACACCAAATTAGTTGTCGACTCCTTTTAGACAAATACCCAACTAGTTAAGTATCAATTATGTGACATGTAGAGTTGAAGAGAAAAGAAGATGAAAGTAGTTCCTGACTCCTTTCAGAAAAATAGCCAACTATATAAGTATTAGTTGTTGCGTACTGTGACGTGTCGGGTTGAAGAGAAAAGAAGAAATATTAGTTCTTGACTCCTTTTAGACAAATAGCCAACTATAGGTACTGAAAGAGAGTACTTGAGTTCTCCAATAACTAGAAAGTGCAGCATACCTAAATATAACTAGGTCAGTCATTAAGAGAGAAGAATTTACGGAATCACTTCTTAACTCCTTTCAGACAACTAACAAACTAATTAGTATCAATTATGACTTACTATGGCATGGGTTGAAGAGAGAAGAAGACAAAATTAGTTCTTGACTCCTTTCAGATAAATACCCAACTATTTAAATATCAGTTAATACGTACTATGACATGTCAGATCGAAGAGAGAAGAAGACTAAATTAGTTCTCGACTCCTTTTACACAAATAGCTAACTAGGGTGAAATTAATTAATTCACATATGGAGATTTGCCTTTTAGGGAATTAAAATTTTAATAGCGGAATTGATTGATTGCCTGAATTATCATCAATTTAGTGAGGGTTTAATACTTGTACTATTCAGCCTACTAAGTTTGATCTTTTTGTTTAAGCAGACTGATACGGCATCAATGTTAGATGAGGTGATAGAATATTTGAAGCAACTACGAGCTCAAGTTAAAGCCATGAGCATGATGATTCATGTTAACATGCAGCCACCCCCTATGATGTTACCAAATATGGCATTCCAACAACAACAACAACAATTTCAAATGTCAATGATGGGGATGGCTAGACCCATCGATGTCAATGCCCTTAGCAGCCCCAACATAACAACAATCCCATCGATTCTCCATACCACCGCACCCTCTAATTTCAATAACCCTCCTATTGCCTCCCCTGGAGCTGATCCTTTAGCTTCCTTGGTCGCAGTACGCCAATTATCACAGGTACAACAACAAAAATAGCTCATCTTATAACGGTTACATCTGTTAAACATTAGAAATGTTATCTCATGTATTCAAATTAGCAAATCAGAAATAAAATAAAAGAGAAGAAAAAGAACTATTCGAGTCCACAGAACCCATAGTGTGTCCCTTTCATTCCTATTCACACGAGAGGAACTCGTGATTTTGAGGTATGTACATCTTGATTCTCTAATATTATCATGAGGAGTGCATGATATTATTGTTTCTCAAAGGGTAATATTTTTTTAACGCTATAGCAAAATATTATTAAATAGAACGTACATTACAAGAGTAACATAAAAATATGATAACACTTTACAGTACAATGAAATATTATTATAGAAAGGTTTGACTGGATTATTATGAATTTTCTAAAAAAATATTTTTCTATTTGGGAACTTTTGCAGCCTATGACGATGGATGCTTATAGCAGGATGGCAGCATTGTACCAACAATATCTACAGTCAAATGCAAATCTTGGCTTTAAAAATTGATGTATAGCACTGTTGTGGAGTTTGAAAACTTTTTTCCTTGATCAATTGCAATAAGATTGACCATAGCCTATTGACAGTTCAACTACTAAATTTGGTGTTACGTTCCAAGATACATGATGAAGAAACATAATAGAATATGTAAATTAAATATGATTGATTTATTTTTTACACTTTAATAGCATACAAAGTGTACCATAGTATGATGTGATTTTTTTCCTCTTTTGAAAAAATAGAAGATTTTTCCATAAATAGCTCAAGTTTGAATCGTAATTATCATTAACAGTTATAATTTGTCTAATTATGATTCCTAATAGCAGCTTGAGAGAGGAGCGAGGAGCGTGAAATTGAGAAAGAGAGAGAGGATTGAGGAGCGTGCAATTGAGAAAGAGAGAGAGGAGAAATGCTAGATACAGGCTAATAAATGTTGTGTAAGGTACATACGGGCAGAAGAATCCATTGTACCTTGAAAGATGAAGCTCGCCCAGGGATTCCAAATCAAACGTCTCTCCACTAATGTCTCAAAATCAACTGTCGAAAGATGCCTTGTACTTAACAAGAAAAAGAACAAGGTGTGGCATCAGTATACAAACTACACTGTACTTGTAAGATCACACGACCAGTCCAATATTGAATGTAAACGACCACTACAATATAGTAACATATATAGGAGGCATAACATAACAACAATTTGCAACCACATAGACTCTCAATCACATGTCATGAAACAACAGTAATTGGGTTAACCAATGCATGACTACATGTCCCACATGATCATAGTGCAAATGTTTGGTCCTCATTGGGAACTACAATCACATATATATGGTCCTCTCACGAAAGTCAAATTCAAGTTGTTAGTGTACTGGCATGACATCTGATCCGTCTTAGTATATCAACGTGGTACTTGAGACATTCATGTACCAGCGTGGTACCCAAGCCAACCAACAATCACAAAGAATAATGTACTTACATAACACAATAAACAAGACAATTGAAAATCACAAGTTCATTGCATGAGATTACCTACATGAGGTCATTTCATATATTTTCTACCATGCATTATACAAATTATACAACAAAATAGTTGACATGCATACATGCATAAACCATAAACATACAACCATTGCCTACCTCTCGAATCAAGCCTCTTGAAAACTTTGAAAAATCAAGAACTTTCCCCTTGCGAAGCGCCTTAACTTGTTCTTGATTTTAAAAAACAATATAAATAACAATCAATCATTAGTGGCCTATAATTTTCCCAGATTGTCAACAAATCCTAAACCTATGCAAAAATATGACCATCTTCCCCAACTTAGGGCTCCTTCCCACCGTGGAATCATGTCAAAACCATCCCCCAAAAGTAATAACCTAAATTCTAAGGCTTAAGAATCAATTCATTATAAGGATGGATAGCAAGTTCTTACCTTTATTGTGAAATCCATGGAAACAGGTGCTACCTGCCCAAGATATCCCCTCCTAAGTCTAAGTACCAAAGTACAGAAAATAGGAGTTTCATATTTTTTTCTGCTCTAAAATCCTGATTTGGTGCGCTATAGAAATAGCTACCCTCGCTATAGCGGTCTACACACTCGGCTATAGTGGGCTGCCTCCCGCTATAGCGGCCTCGACGAAATTTTAGAAACACAAACTCCGAAAGAAGGCCATTTTTACAGCACAAACTCTTATATTGATGTCCAGACGCATACGTCAAGTTCAATTCTGGAAGGTCTACTTATCTGAATCCAAAGTAGCCCCTTCTAAATCCAAGAACACAAAGTACATAAAATAGGATTTGTGGGTTTTTTCTGCTCTTAATCCCAATTTGGTGCAATAACGGTCTACACAATCTTCTAAAGTGGGATGCATGCTTCCCGCTATAGTGGCCTCCACAAAACTTCAGAAACTCAATCTTCGAAACAAGGCCATTTTTACAGCACAGACTCTTATATTGATGTCGCAACACATACGTCAAGTTCAATTCCCAAATGTCTACTAATTATCCAAATTTAATTCCGAAATGTCTTATGGACTCCTTAAGTTCTTGGGTACAGAAATATAGCAACAAAATCTTGAAATCACACCCCACCAATTTCCAAATGTCCCATGACCTCACCTAACCCAGAGTCTATGTGCACTTAGCTGAAAATTTTTAAGCCCCTACTCGGAGAGTTTTCAGGCCCCAAATCTTATTCATAACGATCGAGTCAAAACGTTACATAAATTTGATATATACAAGATAATACAATTGATACATTTAACAACAAATGTTGTCTTTTTTTCATGTATTCATTCTATTTATCTAAATCAGACTTTAATTTGATGGTGACCAATATATTAACAAATAGAAGATACACAAAGTTAGTCAAAGTACGCCAAAGATTTTTGCAGGATATGACTTTTAATTGATATATTTTATGTTGTGGATAGGTGTTGCCATATATTCTGTACTATATAAAGATGATTTAAAGAGAGAGGCTGGAGAAAGAGAGGGGGGAGGGGAGAGGGATGCGAGAGGGAGTGATGGGAGCCATAGAGGAGAGAGGCCAGTGAAATTGAGATTAAAAATTTGCGATAAAATTTCAATTATTATTGTATTTGTTACATAATATTTTGAAACTTTAGCTAGGTATAATAAATAATTTATTTATATTTGTTAGATTATATATTAATTTTTTTTCCTAAAAATTTATGTACCTCATAAGCAGTTCAATTTGTTGTAAGAGTTTTGGGCCATCATGACAAGAAACAAAAATACCAAATTTACAACCAAATATTTATGACAGGTTCTCCATAAAATAGTGACATATTTATGAAGGAATTTTTTTTACCATTATGATAGATTTTATTCGTTTATCAAGTTGCAATACTTAGAATCTGTGATAAAGTATTCTTCCATCATTGTTTTTCTTGTGGCACATTGAGCCATTTGTAACACTTTTTTGATGGAACAATTCAAACTTTAATTACCTTCTTAAGAGGGAATATTCTCATTTTGGCCACTCAAATGGTACCTTGTAGAAAAGATTGAAACTTTAATTCTTTCTTTAGAGTCCACGGTGGACCTTTCCATCTCTAGATCGATAACGATTTATTTTTAGATTTTTTATGCGGTGTTCGGTACCTTGTTAGCAGAGGCTGATCTAGGATCTGAAGGTCTTGGGTGTCACATTGTTTAAGTAAAGCGAGTCGATTTCTTTAATTTTAGGTTACAATCAAGTTGTTTATCTTTTTTTGATTTTTATAAACAAATCGATTAAACATGCATGTTAGTAATATTTTCTTTTAAATACTAATTAAGCAATTCAATGTTATTTCTTCTTAGGAATTAATGACTTTATTTGCTGAAACTTTGATGGAAAAAAAGAGTTTTCATACTAAAATTTGAGTTTTTATAAACTATCTAATAGTGTTAACTTAATATATTGACTTTATGTGTTGTTGCAAAATATAACAAAGAGAATACAAATTTAAATTCAATTTAGTCATCCTACTTACCAAGAACGTTGGTGAAGATTGAAAGAGCCTTCAAATTAAAAAAAAAACTTTAATAATAAATAATATTCACTACTTTAAAAAAACTTTTATTTTTTAAAACTACTATTTAATTATATTCTTAATAATATTTAAGTCATGTTCATAATTCAGTACTCATTAATTGAAAAGGAATAAACATGGAACACTCGTATCAAAAGATTAATAATTCATGAAAGAGAAAGTAAAGAAACTTAAGAATTAATTATGGTGAATAAAAGTCAGTTCGAATTAATAAAAGATACTAATAAAAAAATAAGAATGAATGAAAGGAAAAAAAACCCATCACACATTAATAAAAATGACAAAAAAAGAGAGAGAAAAAAAAAGAAACAAAAAGTTGAATAAAAATTACAAGAAAAGGGAAAGAAAAGAGAGAAAAAGCTTCAGCCTCCAAAAATTAACGTTGGAGACAAGGATCGAACCAACACTACACATGTGACAAAATGACCTGCTTTTTCAATTGGACTATTCACCATATTCTTTAGTTAGTGGCAAAGAAAATATATATTAACTTTTTTATAAATATATACATATATATACAAAGTTTTTTCCGAAATCAGTGGATGTCGTGGCACCCCAGGGTACCTATAGATCCGCCCTTGCTTATTAGAGTCTAGCTAATTTAAATTTGTATTGGATATAACCTCATTAGAAGGGTAGTACATTGCTCCTATTCAAAAAAAATTTCCGTCCCAAAACATGGTTTTCTATTCCGTGTTTGATAATATATTGAAGTTTGACTAATTTAAATTCGCGCTGGATAGGACCTCATTCAATTGGTAATGTGCCTCTTCCACCAAAGTTTTTTTTGAACCCGAGGCCTCTAATTAATTAAGAAACTGCCTATTAATTCATTGTTTCACATGTGATACTAGTGATTTTGTTTGTGATTGTAGAAAGAATCTAAGATATATCCATTAGTCAAGAGGTTAATTATTGACCACCATTATAAAAACTAACATTCTTGAATAAGGCATGTGTGACCCGCATTTCCTTTACCCAAAATATTGTCTATTAAGAAAAATTTATGACGCATGATTGACATATTAATTGTCTTCTTTTAATATATATATATATATATATATATATATATATGCACAACAGAATCATATCAAAATTATATTATACTGTTTGAATGAATAATAAACAACACATACATTTATATTAGAACACATAAACTTGCTAAAATTAAATTAAAATATTATTTCTTGAAGCGTGAACAAATATCTTGAAGCAAATTAATAAACTCAACTTCACTTATGCGCTCTTCTACAGTAATCTCAAGTTCACAATCAAACTCTCTCAATACTTGGCTTGACAAATATTGTATAGAAAACTTGTTCACGTTCTAAGTTATACGAATTCCTACTTATAGAGATTTATTCTCCGTCCAAAGAGGAGAACAAAATACACACTTGTTTTCTTGGAATAGAAAACTCACGTTTGTCTCCCTTTTTATTGCCAGAGAAATTAAATCTCACAGTTCTGATGAGTCCAAGATGATTAAGATCAAATGACAAATGTTCAAATGAAGTGAAGAAAAATATGGTTGAGTCACTCAAACTGAATAGGTGAAAGAAAAAAAAAAGGATAGACAAGTGGAGTTAGACCACAACCAAATACAAGATATTTCTAGAAAGGGCATTTTAGTAAAGTGAGTTGTAAATAAATTTCTTTTTGTATTTATTTTACAGTTTGTAACAGAGTTAGTTAAGATATAATTTTCCTTTTGATTGTACGGTTTCCAACCAAGCTTGTATAAATATAGGATACAATTTATAGTAGAGGACAAAAAGAAATGCAAGAGAAAATTTTCTATACTATGCTTTCCTATTAATTTCTTCATGGCATCAAAGTATTTTTACTAGATTCATTTTTTTCATTGTTTTTCCTGTTTTCTAATTTCTTTTATACTAAGAAGTTTTCACCTTCTTTTAATCTAAATAAAATGATTGAAGTGACATATCAATATTCTAAGAGTACAACTGTACACGTAGAACGAATTGATGCCTTACATCCATTTTTTCTTTCACCATTAGATTCTCTATGAATGAATATGACAAACACAAGCTTTGATGACTTCAACTTTGGTAGTTGGAAAAGAGGAATTCTGATTCCCCTTTCAGCCAAAAATAAACTTGGATTGAATGGTACCTGCAAATTCCCTGAAAATGAATCCACTATGTACGCATAATGGAGGGTTTGTAGAGTAGAGGCTTTCCCCAAGATATTGCTTTCTTGCTCCTCCCCTTAGAATCAAGTTGACAAGGTGCTATATTGGCTCCTTAATTATTTAAGCAAAGAAATTGCAGAGAGTGGTTTATACTCTCAAACAATAATTGAGCTATGGAAAGAATTAGAGGAACAATATGGACAAGCTGATGGATCAAAACCATTTCAGCTTCAAAGGGAACTGAACAACATAATGCAGGGTTCTTATGATGTAGTTGACTATTTCATCAAGTTAAAGTGACTTTGGGATCATATGAAGGTTTCACGACACGCAAGTACCCCCTAGAAGTTAGGTAAAACCCTTGAATCGGGTCAAGGCGTACTTGACCCTTTTGGGTCTTGTACAAGCCCTTTAACTATCATTCATAACATAAGACATGAAAAGTAGTGTGGAATTAAAACTTTTCACGATATTTAATATAAAAAAGAATTTCCTTCATAAATACTAAGAGAATCTCATCGTCAAAAGACAACTTAAAGACACGACATAAAAATCATAGGGACACGACCCTTTACATTTGAAAAAAATACATGATAAGAACTTATACAAACTAAAAGAATTAAGAACTATGCCCACAAATATATGAGGACATACTTTGTCTTGAGAGAATATTTCCCAAGCATGCCTTCTAACTTCAACCTCGCTTCCAAACCTATAATTATAGAGCATAGAAAAGTATAGGGTTAGTACAAATAATGTACTAAGTATGCATATGCAATAACATGCAAAACAGGATACTTTAGTATAATGAGCTTTCATGCCAAATAAGTCAAATATTCATGGATGTAGAAGTTAAAACAACATAAGAAACATCATTTAACACCTAGAGAAGGATTCCCAAACTTTTAGAAAAAAGGAGCATTTTACAGTGAAGTACCCAATTTTCCTATAACTTCCTTTAACATTGCAGTGAACTATCCTATTTCCAAAACAGTGAACTTCAAAGGTCAAGCAAAGAGGAAGTGCACTCATTTCCGTAGGAGTTTCCCTAACTAAGGTTATCCTAAAACTCAACAAGGTAAGACATGAAGGAAATACCCATACGCCTCCTTCAATACACACCTAGGTGATCCCCAAGACTACCCCTTTTAGGCTTACTCGCCTCGATAGAACAAGCCCCCACTCAATGACAAGACATTAGAAGAACACTCAAACAACACACTAAGACTTCCCTTTCGGAAGGCCTAATTAGTGCAATGAGTAGAGGGCTTACCATTCCACTACCTACCCTAAGTAGTACACTCTTTTAGAAGGCTCAGCACCAAGACTCCCCTTTCAGAAGATCTACTTAGTGCAATGGATAGATAAAGTCCCATACCACCACCTACCCTAAGTAGTACGTTCTTTTAGAAGACTTAGTTCATTCAATTCATATAAGTCTCACTAAGATTTACCTTTCGGAATGCCTACCTAGTACAATGGATATATAACGTCCCATTCCGCTACCTACCATAAGTATTACACTCTTTTAGAAGACTTAGCACTTTCCTTACTTTTGTGGGGGTTAGCTAAACCGACATAGACCACGAGAGCTAGACATGGAATCCTGATACTTCCCTTATCGGAGAAGGGTCCCCTTACTTGCCTAGAGTGAGGTCTTTTCTCTTTAGATTTTACATGGCTTTCCTAATAGAT